TCGAGACAGGGTTTCTCTGTAGCTTTGGTGCCTGTCCCGGAACTAGCTCTTGTAGACCAGGCTGGCCTCGAACTCCCAGAGATCCGCCTGCCTCTGCCTCCCGAGTGCTGGGATTAAAGGCGTGCGCCACCACTGCCTGGCTCTCAGTTAAAATTTCCTGAGGGAGAGAGAGTCACAGTAGCTACACGTCATTAGGTCCAGAGACTAGTAAGTCTAGGGCCTGTTCCACACATGACATTTCTTCTGAGAGCTGTCTGGAGCTTCCAGAACACAGGTGTGGCAGCTGTCCAGTGTCCTGGCAGAGCAGGGAGCAGAAGAAAGTGGGAGGGAGGACCTCGGGAGGCAGCCTCACACACACCACAGAGCCAGGCCAAAGCCGTCCCTTCCCTCCCAGACTTTGTGACAAGGCCTGCTTCCTCTCTAGGGGTACTCTGAGCTGCTCCTACCTGAGCCATCAGCAGCAGCTCCCCTTCCAGAGCTATGAATACGTGGACTGCCAGGAGAACACGTCCGTGCCCCTCCTGGAGATCCCGTCCACACCCAGCTTGACCTCTCCGCTGGCCCTGTAGCGCAGGCACCTGCGGCCTGGTCTGCACCTCAACTCCAGGGAGCTCATGGAAGGACGAGTGGCTTTGCTGAAGGAACGGAAATGTCTGGCTTTATTGTGCCTTCCCCCGACACCCTCAGCACAAGGAGCTCTTTAGCAACGTCCTAGGCGCTGGCTCCTCAGGGGTCCAGGAGTGACTTCTGGTAGATCTTCCCCGGGGTCTGTGTTAAGAAACGTCTGAGGGCTGGAGAGATGGCTCAGTGGTTAAGAGCACTGGCTGCTCTTCCAGAGGTCCTGAGTTCAATTCCCAGCAACCACATAATGGCTCACAACCATCTGTAATGAGATCTGGTGCCCTCTTCTGGCCCGCAGATGTACACGCAGGCAGAACACTGTGTACATAATAAATAAATAAATAAATAAATAAATAAGTCATTTAAAAAATATATATATATTTGGAACCATGTGATTGTGCCACATACCTTTAATGCCAGCACTCAGGAGACAGAGGCAGGCGGAACTCTGTGAGTTCAAGGCCTGCCTGGTCCTCGGAGCGAGTTTCGGGTTGGCCAAGACTACACAGAGAAACCCTGTCTTGAAAAACAAACAAAACAACAACAACAACAAATCCACTTGGTTTTCTAATTGCTTCAGACTCAGGAGCCTGCATTTGGCCTGCCCTCCTGTGGCTCGGACTGTAGTTTGCCAGGGGAAAAGTCCAAAGCCTCTTCCTGGTGAACCTAGATTAGAGCATCAGGTAGAATTTTGTTAATCTTTATATGAGCTGGACTCTGTGAATCTCTGTGGAAGAACGGTATCTAGTTTTCTGTTGAGGGAGAGGCCAGCATGTGCCTGGACCAAGAACGTGGTTGGCCAGGTGGTCAGGCGCATCTTAAAGGATAAGGCATCTCGAGAGAGGCATCTTGGAGGCCCCTGATGGTAGGCAAGCCAACTGTGTGCGTTGTGACTTGTAAGCCTCCTCTTTGGGTTTCCTGACCATTTGTAAAACAAGGCTCATTGTTCTCTCTCTCTCAGCAAAATCTGTGCGCGGCTGAAAGTCAAAGTCCATCACATTCTTTTGCATATCCAGTAAGTATGGCACGAACCCCCGTGTCCCCACAACCCCTTCAGTCACACCTCAGTTGAATTTTTTTTGGGGGGGGGGTTCGAGACAGGGTTTCTCTGTAGCTTTGGTGCCTGTCCCGGAACTAGCTCTTGTAGACCAGGCTGGCCTCGAACTCCCAGAGATCCGCCTGCCTCTGCCTCCCGAGTGCTGGGATTAAAGGCGTGCGCCACCACTGCCTGGCTCTCAGTTAAAATTTCCTGAGGGAGAGAGAGTCACAGTAGCTACACGTCATTAGGTCCAGAGACTAGTAAGTCTAGGGCCTGTTCCACACATGACCTTTCTTCTGAGAGCTGTCTGGAGCTTCCAGAACACAGGTGTGGCAGCTGTCCAGTGTCCTGGCAGAGCAGGGAGCAGA